AAAGTTTCTCTTATAAGTTTATTAGTTTCTGTGTGAATTTAGGGTTTAGGAAAATTTTGCATGCTGTCAGAAAACCCGAAGCACTTAGAAAATAAATAAATATATTATATTTATAAATGCATTTAAAAGTGTTTGAAGTGCTGAGCTCAGCTTGTAAATATAGCCAAGCATTATTCAAAGGCTCCTTCAAAGTTATTGCTATACACTGCTAGACTTATAAATAAAATAATAACATTTTCAAGTTGAACTTTAAAGCCTTTGGAAGGATTTTAAAATATATATTGCAAAGACAAAATTAGTACATGTATAATTTGTTCAATAAACACTAATATTTAAAATTATTAAAATATTACTGTAAGTCAACTTCAACTTTGTTACTGTTGTTTTTCATGCAGGCGACTGAACCTAGAGTCATACACATGTGCTCTACCATTGAGTTAATATATATAAAGTTCTTAATTTTTTTTGTACTTTTTATGTCACACTGGCGATGCACAGTGGTCACTCCTTCACTCCTGGATCTGCACTCAAGATCATCACTCCTGGCAGTGCACGGGGAACCATATGAGATGCTGGGAATCGAACCGAGTTGGCTGCCTGCAAGGCAAATGCCCTGGCCCGCTGTGCTATAGCTCTAGCCCAGGTTCTTAATTTTTAAAGGTACTCCTGCATGCAAAATGTGCCTTCAGCTGATTGAGTTATCGCTCTCCACACTCTCTGTCCAGCTTTTAAGACTGGGGGACAGAGGCAGACACTTGTCTCAGTGCCACCCAAGACAACATCACTGCAAGTTCCCTTGGTTATGAGCTACAGACCTCAATAGGAACATTTCCATCTCTCCTTGCCTTCTGTCGAGATTGATGTTTTCCATATTCAGATTACACCTGGCCCGTGGTCCCACACACAGATAGAGAGGAGGTGGGTGTGATTCGCAGCAAGAGGGGTTCAACTCACAAGGGCTGATTTGGACCTGGAGGATGATGCCAGGAGTCAAACCATCCAGGCGCCTCTAAAAGCTGGCAGAGGCAAGAAAGTTCTCCCGGAGCAACTCAAGGAAAAGCACTATCCTGCCCACACTGTGATGTTAGCCCAGGACATGAGCAGAACTCCAGTCAATAGACGGAAATGTAAAACTCTGAGTTGCTTTGAGTGAGATTTGCAATAATTTGCTATAGCTGTGGTCGGAAGTGCAGTTGTGAGACTGGCTCCTTACTTCAGCTCACTGGCCAAGTCAGCTTAGAGAGAACTTCTCTTGTCTCCTTCCTGCCTTCTCTTCATCCCTAGAGTCATTGGATTGGGCCATTTGACTTCTGGTGACGCACTTTATTAGGAATTTGCCCATGTGCACTGACTGCCAGGCTTTCTTCTTCAGACAGCGAGCACAGGTTTTACATGCAGGAGGCCCAGGTCTGGTGTTGAGCACCACACAGATCCCCGAGCACTGCGCAGGGCAACCTGAGTAAAACAATTAACAATAACAACACAAGAAAAATCATGTGTTGTTTTTCATTCTCCAGGATTCTCTATTCATTTGGGTTTGGATCTCTTTGGATTTCAATCTCTTTGGATTTGAGAACTCTTATTCATGAAGCTCTGAAGATCTCAGACTAACACTTCTCCGGTTCTAGGATGATGTCTATAAAATTCAGCTGACCTTGGGCCAACACAGGTTTGATCTTACATAGTGTTTTCCAGTACACAGACTATACTGGAAAATTAAAGCATCAAGAAATGGTACAGTCTTGTTTTGAGTACAGTATGTTTCCAATAACATCTTTTCTTTTGTTTATCTTAAGAAAACAAGATATAATCATACAAATGACATGCAAAATCTGTGTTAACTGCTTATGTTATCTGGAAGACACAACTAACAGCAGGCAGTGACGTTTATCAGTCGAAAGCTCTCCACAGGATTTTGGTTGCCTGGGGGCCCAGGCCTTATGGGGTTCAAAGGTCAAAAGCATTATCAATCTCCTCTGCACAATCAGTGAGGAGCAAACTAGATCCAATATGCTGGGAAGAGTCCAGAACTGTCTTGAAAGAGGCCTCACCTTCTCAGACACTGATTTCTAAACTCCACAGACAGCACTATTTCTCCCGGAAATAATTTGCCCATCCAGCCAGGGATGGCAGACACAACCCAGGGGAGAGATTGGCCAGAGTGAAGCAGGCCTAACCCAGCAAAGGCAGGAACAGGCAGCTCGGGGAGAGTGAGCACGGGTGGGATGCTAGAGAGACTGAATGGGCTCCAAATTCAATCATCCACACAGGGGACCAAGCTAACGTGTACAAAATGTTTATTGAATCTGCTTTGGAAACAGACGACACGAAAGGGTTTGGGTTTGTGAGCTCGAGTTGAGAGTCATAACAGCTTCCTCTTATTAAACCTCAGCCCCCGTCTAAACACAGAAAATGAATCTCCTTCTCCTAAAGGGAAGAAAACGTGCTTTAAAACATGAGTGCTGTCACTTTCGCAATAGCTCTGGGGGGTGGGGGGGAGGTGTTAAAATGCCCATAAACACGAGCAAAAATGACCGAGGTGCAACCTGAAATATTTACTACATGAATACCCGATGTGTACAAAGGCAACGTTGTAAACTGGCTCAGAGCCAGCAGCAGCAGCAGCAGCAGCAGACTACGCTGGGTCTGCAACCTACTTAACTGATGGCTGCTGTCCTCAGCAGAGCTATGTGGTATATGGAGAAGGCCATCTTCTTTTTTTTTTTTTTAAAGCATGTATCGTTAATGTTGTAAACTAAAAAAGCAAACCCAAGCACGATCAGTCACTTTGGCTGGATCAATAAAGACTAGTCCCCAAGTACTAAGTGTAGCCAACAGGATAGTGGCGATTGGTTGAATGTCTCACCAAGTCAACTCCCTACCACGTTGCTCCCCACCTGAGGTCCCATTTGTTACTGCACCTTGGGCAGTGGTGGACTCCATCCACCCCTTGTGTTCTGAAACCCTCAGCTCTCTTTCAGACATGTCTCCTTCGTTGCTCTTTTAGAAGGATGACAAGGATATAAATTTTTAAACCTGACTTTCAAATTGCAAACCAGCCCCAAGTGCGAGTCTAGTCAATCTCCCCCTCCACTCCAGCCACCTCCTGCCACACTGAAAGCAGAGCTAGCTATCACCAAGTCTGAGACTTCATCAGCCAAGTTTCCCTGGTGCAACAGGATACCTGCTAGGAGTGAGAAAAGCCAAGGGAGCTGTTATCAATGGGGTCCAAAGTGATATACAAGGAGAGCAGGACTTCATAGTGAAAAAAAAAACCCAGAATTAGAGGGAGATGTGTTTTTTTGTTTGTTTGTCTGGGTGGTTGGTTTGTTTGGGGGCCACCCCACTGGTGTTCAGGGCTTGCTTCTGGCTCTGCACTCAAGGAGCAGAGATCACGCCTGGCAGGGATCAGAGCAGAGGACCATATGAAGTTTCAGGGATGGAACTCAGGTTGGCCATGTGCAAGACAAATGCCCTACCTATTTGTCGATCGCTATGATGCAGGAAGGAGCAGTGACAGCACAGTACTACAGCCTGTGACCTCACAGGGGATGAGTACCAGGCACTTCTGGGTATACACACACACACACACACACACACATATATATATATGTGTATATATATATATATATATATATATATATATATATATATATATATCACCACACCTGGAGAGGTACAGGGGTTACTCCTGGCTCTGCACTCAGGAATCACTCCTGGAGGGCTCAAGGGACATATAGGATGCCATAGATTGAACCCAGGTTGGCCACGTGCAGGCAAGTAGGGCAAGTGCCTTACCCACTGTATTTACTATGTCTCGGGCCTCTTCTTGGTACTTCTTTAGCAGAGATGAATGTCTCTGTAAAAGGTCCTGCCCTTAACACCCTCAAGTTACCCCCCCCCCCCCCCCGCAAAGCACTGGGTCATTTATTCCCTTTGTTACAAGCCTCTGTTCATGAAATGAGCCGGTCTCCTGCTCAGTGTTCCCCAAAACCCAACAAATAGAAGAGAGCAACACATCCTTCTGGAACTCGGAACCTCTGCTCTGGGAAACCCCGCCCACCGGCGAGCCCCGCCCACCATCAAGCCCCGCCCACCTCCATTGCTTTCCTCCTGAGTCCCTTCTGGTCTTGTAGTTTGCTCACTTTTCTGGCTGAAGACACACCTATGGGCATGAACAGTGCAAGAGCTTACGTGCAAATATTTGCAAACAAAGTGTGTGTGTGTGTGTGTGTGTGTGTGTGTGTGTGTGTGTGTGTGTGTAATGATGCACATTAAAGAAAAAAAATTCAAGTCAAATCCAGGAACAGACTAATTGGTGGGCATTAGGCGGCCCATCTTCCCCGAAAAAGGGAAAAGGTGGGTTTCTGAAAAGGGAGAGGGAAGTTAGTTCCTTGGGCATGGGAAAAAGCCTGGAAGAGGGGACCACGAAGATACAGGGAGGGAATGCTGAGGCTGATGAAAGAGGGGGACATTCCCAGCTCTGGAAGTCAGCAGACTTCCTGGAGGAGGCAGCACGTGGGATCTGGGCAGAGGTGGGGAGAGCCCACCAACTGGGAGACTCTCCCTGAGTCATTGGGAAGTCAGGAAGGTGCATTCCAGCACCACTTGGGGGAGGGGCAGGGAGGGGGGGGGGGAGGAGGCAGGATGTGGCAGCCTTGGCTCTACACAGAGCCAGGGGCAGCAGAGGCAGAAGGGAAGGAGGGAGGATGGACCCCCCACATCACAGCAAAACCCAAAGGGGTACCCCAAAGCCACATGCATCCCACACAACCTCCAGCAATAGCAGCAGCAAGGCAGGTGGGTGCATGGGACAGTCTGAGGGCAGAGGGAGAAAGCAACTGAGAGGAGGCACAGAGTCCGCTGACCAGGCTGGCCACGAGCAAGTGGACACAGACATGCGGGCCTGTGGGGCGGCCCAGGACTGGTCACAGTCGCAAACACGATGAAGTTTATAACAGATGTGGTCCATCGGGACACTCAGAGCAGGCCTGGACCCTCACTCCACCCCACCCCGCACCTCAAAGGAACAAAGTAGCATTGCCCCTAGGCCACGCACAGGGCGGTGGGTGGACAGAGGACGGACAGTGCCAATCTCAGCCTGGCACCGCCAGGGCGAGCCCGCGGCGGGGCCTCAGCTGAGGGACGCACAGTTGAGGTCGGAGCCCTCCTGCTCGCCGCCCACCGCCTGGTCCAGCGGGCAGCAGGCGTCGGGGCCGTCGGTGATGTTGGGCTCGCTGGAGCACTGCCGGTGGGCCGGGGGGAAGTTGGGTGGCCGCAGCAGGCGCCGCTGCTCCTCCCCGCTGCTGCCGCTGCCGCTGCCCGGCTCAGCGCCCAGGCCCGGATGCGACACGCTGGCCATGGCCAGCAGCTGGATGTCCGAGTGCGCGTTGGCCACCGTGTGGCGCCTCACGCTGCCGCACTTCTCCAGGTAGGCCTCGCCCTCCTGCTCCGTGAGTGGACTCAGCGCTGAGTCGGGAGGGGGTCGCCGGGCGGCCGGCGCTGGGGAGCCGGAGTTCAGCAGACTGGCCTTGGGTCGGACCCTGGAGTGGCGCCGGGCTGCAGGGCAGAAGGCGGCAAAGGCTGTCAGCGGCCGGGCAGGTAGACGCTCCCCGGGATTCCCGTTGAAGAGGGGCAGGAGAGAGCCTCAGCCCTTGACTCTGGATCTCTGGCACCGGTGGTGCAGATGCTGTCCCATACTGCAGTCACCCAAGGCCCTGCCTGGTAGATGGTCACCAGGGAACCTTGTCTCTCTCTCTCTATTATTATTGTTATTATTATTATTTTACTTTTTGGGTCACACTCGGTGATGCACAGGGGTTACTCCTGGCTCTGCACTCAGGAATCACCCCTGGCGGTGCTCGGGGGACCGTATGGGTTGCTGGGTATCGAACCTGGGTTGGCCACGTGCAAGGCAAACACCCGCTGTGCTATCGCTCTGGCCCCAACCTTGTCTCTTTCCTGGCTGCAGCCTCAGCTTCACCACCCAGTTTGCCCCAAATTCCTCTGCTGAAGCCCTGGGTTTTGGCTGGATCTGCGTCCAAAAGCATCCCTCTGTAGGCCGCAGACAGTATTGGTTAGGATGCCAGTGCCCAGGGAGCACCCTGCCAGGGCGCCATCCTGGCACCAAGTGGCCCCTGAGTATAGCTGGGTGCAGTCCTGGAGGGCCCATGCCACTGGGGTAGTGGGTATCTTCAGCTCTGCAGGGTCTGAGCAGCACCCCTGGCTGAACTACTCATGGGACCCCCCCAACACACCCCACATTCACATAATATACATACATACTCATATACCTGTACACACCCACTTACACACACCCCACAAACTCACAAATACGCATATACCCATATGCATCACACATCCACACATGCACACATACACTTCTACCCATACACACCTACACATGCACAACGCCCCACACTCACACAACACACACACATACAGTCACACATCCACATCCCCTTACATGTGCATACTTCCACACTCACACAAAACTCACACTCATATACCCACCATACACACACCCACACAACACATACTCATATACCCTTACACTGTAGCACTGTAGCACTATCCTCTCGTTGTTCATCAATTTGCTCGAGTGGGCCCAGTAACGTCTCCATTGTGAGACTTGTTGTTACTGTGTTTGGCATATCGAATACGTCACGGGTAGCTTGCCAGGCTTTGCAGTGCGGGCGAGATACTCTCGGTAGCTTGCCGGTAGGCTGGCTGCGTGCAAGGCAAACACCCTGCTATTGTGCTATGGCTCCAGCCCATAAACACACACACACACACACACACACACACACACACACACACACACACACCATATTAACACAGCACACACACATACTCACACACCCAAATATATCCACACACCCCAGGGGTTCAGGAGGAGGGGAGGCACACACACCAATGCTCACCTAAAATGACCCCCTTGTCCTCCAGCTGGGCACCCCCCAGTCCCACCCTCGGGCGGCATCTTCCTCCTCTGGCTCTGGCCCAGAGCCTAAACTCTTCCCAGCCACACAGTGGCCCCTGCTGGCAACCCCGGAGAGGCTCAGCTCTTTTTGCTTTCTCAGTGAATCTTGTGACTCCCAAGACTGCATGGCTGAGTTGGGATCCTGAGGGCGACGGGCTGGGTCAAGTCCCACGGGCAGAGTGACCTCTCTGAGCTCCAGCTGGAGCCAGGCGCCAACCCTCAGACCAATGCACAGTGCATCAGCTGTGTTATCCATGGGATTGGCTCCCCTGGGAGTAGGTGTGTGTGTGTGTGTGTGTGTGTATGTGTGTGTGTGTGTGTGTGTGTTGGGGGGGGGGGGGTCCCTGGAAGCTTTAACCCCAGGCTAGGCTAGGCTGAACAATTCCTTCCTTCCCCTTCCTCTCCTCCTTTGCACCAGGGAAAGTCCCTCAGGAGAAATCCCCCCACTTAAAGGCTAATTAAGTTGCAGCACTTGCCCCTCCCCATTCTAAGCAGAGAGAGGGGCTTGACACCTACCGCCAGGCCTCCTTGCTGGCCTTTCACACGGGGTGGGGGTGGGCCCCTCATCCCTCCCTCCCTCGCCAGGCACCCCGCTGAGCTCCATATTGACCCCACACTGCACAGAGCCAGGAGTGGCAGCTCCTTTCAAATCCCCAGAGTGAAGCCAGCCTGGGATGAGGCCTGCGTGCTGGGGACCTTTGTTGGGGACTCGGTTCCCAGGCCTTTGATCTCCCAGGCTCCACGGCAGGGGGCTGCCAGAAAGAGGCTGTGACCCCTACACAGTGAGCTCTTTGTGGGGTCCCTCTCCAGGGCCCTGGCACCTGAAAGCCTGGAATGCCAGCTTGTCAGGAGCACCTCCCTGCCAAACAGTGGAGAGAGGGCCTGCTGCGGCTTCCAGCGCTGGAGACGTGGAGGGAGCCAGTGCCAGAAACTTCTGCTGAAGGCCCAGGGAAATGCCAGGGATCAACTGGGAAGTCGAACCAGGACACAAGCTTGGCCTCCAGCAATCTTCTCCCTGGCCCACTGCGCCCCTCCCCCAGTCCCCGCAACCCCCAGAAAAGTGGCAGGGTCAGGAGGGAGGATGCACATGTATGCATACAATGCAAACACAGGCATGCAATCACGCATGCACATACACACACACACACACACACAAACATACACACTTGTTCACCCAAGGTCTCACACTGCGTTTTCCAACCAGAAGCAAGCCTGAGTGTCAGGTGCACCCCTGCCCCCCTCCATTGGAGAGACTTCCCACAAAGCCCCCTGGGACCCACCCCACAGGCACGTCTCCCAGGGAGAACTCCCTGCTGGATCAGAGAGCAGGTGCCAGGGTGCTGAGACCCCATGCCCCATGCCCACTCAGCATGTGAACGTGATGGGGTGTGGGACAGGCTCCTCTCAGAGGCTCACAATCTGACTCAGGCCCTAGTGAACGTGCCCAAGCCTTCCCCAGTCACAGGATGGTCCCGTCCAGCCCATCTCTTCAAACTGCTCATCTGTGCTGTATTCATTGTTGTCTCCTGTCACTGAGGACCAGAGCATCCTTCTGGGAAGGGCTGACCCCTGAGGAGGGCGGCACCCTTTGGCCGCTGCAGCTCTTGAGCACTTTCGGGAATGGACCAATGCCTGGACTTGGGTCCTTCTAAGACCCAGGAAGGAGAGGGCCCGGGCAGGTCCTCTGTGGAACCTCCTGGGACACCCCGTCACCGTCTGATGAGAGGAAACGTGGGGTTGGGTTGTGAATAGAGGACTTGGGCACGTGGCCTGGGGGGTCTGGAAGCCAGGTGCAGTAGCCCCCTGGGCCTTCATCCCCACTGGCCTCCCCTGGGTCACAGAAACAGTCCCGCTCTGTGGTGTGGTGTGACCTCAGTAGCTCAGCAAGACACCCGGACACCACCTTTGGTGGCTTCTCTTGCCAATGGCCACTTGGCAACTTTGAGACCTTTTCACTTCCCCATTCTTTGTTGCCTTCCTGTTCACAGTTCTCCCCACCCTGCCAGAGGATTTGCCAGGGACATTCACTCTGTCAACTTGTAACTGTCCTATGGGACCCATCACAGGTATCACTGCCTCTAGGGAGCCCTCCCAGATTTCCAAGTTAAGGTTACACCTTTCTCTATCTCCATTCCCTACCCCTCCGGATGGACTCCATGGTTTGTATGCTTCCCACTCGGCGGATGAGTCACCATTGTCTATTGTTTGTGACTTCCTCACTGCTGCCTTCCATCTGGAGGGGCAGGGATGGGTCAGTTCTGGTCACTGACAGGCCTGTGGCACCCGGGCCCAAGACAGGGTTTCTGGGTAATAGGCTGGAATAATAATAACAGAAAGCAATGAAAAGAGGAAGGATCTCTTCCCCCTCTGGGCCAGCACAGTCCTTGGTCCAAGAATTTAACCCCAGGCCTTCGCTTCCGAACCAGATAAAATATGTTCTATTGTCTTCTCGCTGCTGGAGATTGCAGGGACCCCTCCCAAGGTGACTCTTCACTGAACTGAAGAGACATCCAAGCTTCCCCTATTCCAGACTTTGGGCCTGGCTGGGCAGGAGAGCTCATGCCAGGTCCCAGGTTCCCCGGACTCCCCTGTGAGCAGCTTCACGTTGTCTGATGCCCCTGCCTTAAACTCAATGAGCATAGGAAGGGGTGGGGGTCCTAGCTCAGGGCAGGGAGGACAGACGCTGCTTTCCTCGGCTGTCATTTCTGCTGCGCCCACCACATCTGGGTGGGTTGAGTGAGCGAGTGGGACTGAGGGTGAGGGAAGGGCAGGCGAGAGGCTGGCTAGGGCGTGCACCCTCTGATTTGCAATTGGTTGTGGTCCATCTGGTGTCTCTGTGTTGGCTGGCTCTGCCTTTCTTCTGCAGTGGTGAGGCCCGGGGATGGGGGGTGGGGGAGGTGGGTGGGAGGGGGCACACTCCCTCCACATTCTCCCAAACTCCCTTAAAGCAAGAGAGGGTGCAGAGGGGCCCCAATTCAAATCTCCCTTCCGCCTTTGCACCAATTTGGCGTGTGCCAATCTTGGCACTGCCTGCTCTCCATCTGGCATGTTTGTGGAGGAGGTCTCCTTAGTGGTATATAAGAAGCCAGGGCCACCCTAATGCCCACCGCCACCCCCTCATCCCCGGGCATTTCTGTTAAGCAGGCCAGTGGTTCAATGTGAGCACCAAGGATATGATGCAGGTGAGACCCTGAAGTGCTGGGGGGTTACTGGGATTTCCTGGTCATCCTGTGGGAGGGGGTTCAGTGCCACCCCGGTGGTGTTTGGGGGATTGAACTGGAGTCAGCGGCATGCAAGCCAAGCACCTTAACTTCCCGAGCAGCTCTCGCTTGGGTGGGGACAAGATTGCTGAGACCCAGGACAGCAGGGGGTTGAGAGGGGGGAGATAGCAGGGGTGTGCGGGGACCCCTATGGGGAGCAACAGCCCAGAATGTGGCTGGGGAAGGTGCCGTTTGTCCTGGTCTCCCACAAGCTCTGGAGCACGCCGCTTACCCAGTGCAAAGGTGGGGCCCGGGAGGCCTCGCTCCTCGCTGATGCCAAGGAAGGGAGACACCACTTGCTTCACCAGCTCCTCCAGCTGCAGGTAACCCTCACTGGGGCCCGTGGGCTCGTGAACGCTCTAGGAATGAAGAGCCGAGAGGGACAAAGGTCAGTGTGATTGGCAGGGAGTCAGCAGGCACCCTCTGTTCTAAGCCTTATCCAGTTCCCCCTCCAAAGAGCTACGAGGGAGGCCCGAGGGACTCCCGAGACCACAATTACAGGCCCTTCAGCGCAGGTCGGGCCAGGCAGTGCCCATCCCACCTCTCAGACCCCAGAGAAGTAACTGCCGCCGCCCTAAGCCCCCATCGCCATAAAGCCGCCTTCTCAGGGGCCAGCAGCCACTTGCTCTGAGGGACTGTCGAAACTTTTTGCAGCTTTGCCCCTTCTCTTCTCTGCTTCCCCTCCCACCAACCCTAACACACACATACACCCACACTTGGGCTCTCTGGGGTTAGAGATGGCTTGGCCTGAGGCTGGGCACTAGCAGGGGGTGGTCACCTGTCTCCGGGAGAAGCCAATAGTAGTGATGAGGATCCCAGATCCCCACCCGCAGGAAAGTCAAGGAGACGGTGGGTGGGCCGCCTTTCTCCTCACCAGGCTACAAACACACCCTGCCATGCCTCTCCACCACTTTCTGATCCTAGGATGTGTGATGTGTGTCCATTGTATGTCCCTCAGCTGTGCAGACGCCACATTCCCCTCAGGAATCCACACGAGTTTCCTGGTGGAAGCCAGTATGGCTCATCAAAGTGGATCCTGGCTCATCTCTCCACAGTGAACCCTGCAGCCTGACCCCGATGGACTAGCTTCCCAATTGAAGTGGTTTTCTTGACAATAAAGCTTCTCTCTCTCTCTCTTCTCTCTCTCTTTTTTTGACTTTTTGGGTCACACCTGGCAATGCACAGGGGTTACTCCTGGCTTTGCACTCAGGAATTACTCCTGGTGGTGCTCAGGTCAGGGAACCATATGGGATGAACCCACATTGGCCGCATGCAAGGCAAACACCTTACCCACTGTACTATCGCTCTAGCCTCTCTCTCTCTCTCTCTCTCTCTCTCTCTCTCTCTCTCTCTTTCTCTCTCTCTCTCTCTTTTTTAAAAAGAGATTTTATTTTTGTTTATTTAAGTTTTTGGTTTCCCGGTCATGCCTAGCAGCATTCAGGACTTATTCCTGGTTCCGTGCTCAGGAATCTCTCCTGGTGGTGCTTTTGGTGCAGTGCCAGAGATTGCACCTGTGATGCAGATGCAGCAGATGCAGGCAGTGATGCAGGCAAGCTCCTTACCCACTGTACTATCTCTCTGGCCCCCTCTAAAACCTTTCTTTTCTATTCCACTCTCCGTGCACTCTTTTGGATAGTACATGGTATATAAGAACATATGGATGGATGCACAGAACGGCCCCCTTGCCCCCTCTCCAACCCCCCACCCCCAACCCAGCCTCAACCACCTGAGGAAGGTGGACTTTGCTCCTCATCCTTCAGAGGGGAGAACTCTAAGAGCCAGGCAGATCTGCCATTCTCCTGGAAGATGCAGCTGGTAAATGATACATAGTCAGAACAAGAGGCCAGGCTACTGGGGTCCCAGGCCACAGGCTAGGACCAGCCAGGCACACGTACTGGCAAAGTCCAGAGACACATGCAAAAGAGAGGGGGAGGGGCTGAAGCGATAGCACAGCAGGTGGGGCATTTGCCTTGCACAAGGCCGACCCGGGTCCGATTCCCAGCATCCCATATGGTCCCCTGAGCACTGCCAGGAGTAATTCCTGAGTGCAAAACCAGGAGTAATCCCTGGGCATTTCCAGGTGTGACCCAACAAGCAAAAAAACAAAAAAGAAGAGAGGGGTGAGCCCCCACAAAACTGGACACATTCAGCACTGGGAGGCAGCCGTGACCCAGACAGTAGGAGGACCTGGGAGGGCCTTGATGCTCTAGCCCTGCTCAGTGTGAGCAGAAAGCAGAGTCAGAGAAGCCATCAGAGGAAAGAAGTAGGGGGAGCCAGAAGGTGCTTCTCTTTAAGGAAGACACACAAAGGGAAAGAACCCACGGACGAGAGGGAGTCGATCCATACACTCCAAGAATCACTCCTGGTGTCAAAAGCAAAGAAGTGCTTGTTTCAAATCACCCTGATTGGGTGTGAGAGCTGAGTATATGGTACTGGATTTTGTTCCCCCTAGGGATATCTCCCCCAAAACCTTTGCCCTGCTGTAATTCATAAGTATAAATGGAGAAATGACAGAAAGGGAAAGCAGGGAAAGGTGGGAGGCAGTGGGGCAGGATGGTGGGATGGGAGGGTCCCCCCCAAGAGGCTGAAATGGACTCTGACAGCAGCTGCTTCCGGAGCGAAGCTGGCTCAGTCGAGGGTCTAGCACCTGGCTGTCTAGCACGCCGCTGATTTGCAAGGCCTAGTGCAAGAGAAAAATGTACCAGGCCTGAGAGACAGCACTCAGGTTAAGGTGCTTATCTTGCATGTGACTGACCCCTGTTCAATCCTTGGTACCCCATGTTCTCCTGACCTTCCCCAGGTACTGCCCCGGGGCCTCCAAACACTATGAAGGTGGCCTGGATGTTTTCCAAAACCATCGAGCTTAAAATAAAAACATATCCTTGAACCACTTGCTGGCCTAGTACCGAGTTATCGCTGGGAACCCTGGGCCTTCTGAACACCTTGTGCCCCCACAAAAGACAAAACTGTAGAGCCCCCAAACATGATAACCTCTCAGTATCTGTATTGCCAACCATAATGCCCAAAAGTAGAGTGAGAGTATGGGGGAAATTGTCTGCCATGAAGGCCGGGGGAGAGTAGGAAAGGGGGGTATACTGGGGCGATTGGTGGTGGGGAATGTGCACTGGTGGACGGATGGGTGTTTGGTCATTGTGTGATTGTAATTAAACATGAAAGTTTGTAACTGTATCTCATGGTGATTCAATAAAATATAAATAAATAAAATGTACTAACGGCAAGCTACCGAGAGTATCTTGCCTGCACGGCAGAGCCTGGCAAGCTACCCATGATGTATTCAATATGCCAAACACAGTAACAACAAGTCTCATGATGGAGACATTACTGGGCCCGCTCGAGCAAACTGATGAACAACGGGAGGACCGTGATGATGATGTGAAATAAAATGTAGGGTCCCTTGTTTATGCAGTTTCAAGAATTTACAAAAGGTTCTGCTGGGCATGGGGCCCGGGGTGATGTCCTTCTGGCCAGGTCTCCTTGGAAAGCACTGTTCTGGGGTGTTCTCAAATCTGGGTGAGAGACCCCCAAGCCCTCGCAGAAGGAGCCGGATCACACTGCTCAACATTTCCATTTCTGTTTCCCATGAGTACAGACGGAGGGTAGGAGCACGTAGCCCACGACTGTAGGAGAATAGGGGCCCTGAGTTGTAGTTTGGGGCAAAAGGGGCTTGCTCGGGGATGCTTTGGAAGCTCAAAAGAAATGGTCAAGATGCAGGGATAAGAAGCAGCTCTTTCCTCTGTATAGTCAGGCAGCACCCATGGCCCTGGGGACAGTGGGAGGCTAAGGAGGGAAGTTCCCACGATGGGAGCAGCCAAGTTTCAGGGCAGTGCAGCCTGCAAGCTCCACTCCGACCCAGAAGCTATTGCCCCTGCAGAAGAGGGACCTCTCTGAAAGGGCAAGACCCACATTCGTTACATTCCAAGGCTCAGACTGTAGCGCTCCCAGCACGAGGAGGAACACAGCCAAGAAAATGAGTCCCGCAGCCACCAGGGAAATAGTGCCAAATGCCATGCATTCAAGGGGTGGCACAAGTCTGGGTGGGTGTGGACTGTTTCCAAGCTCCTGGGAGACGGGAGGAGGAGAGGCAGCATAACTAAGGAAGGCTGGGTGGGGAAGTCGAAAGAGCAAGAGTTTAGGCATGGGAGACCAAGCCAACCCTCATCAAAGTGAGCATGTGGAGCCAGAGCTCCTCAGCCAAAATCTAAGCCTCTGTCTCATCTCGACTCATCTCATCCCATCTTGTCTGTGAGAGGGGCAGCAGGTCCTGTCTCTCACCCGACTCCAGACATTCATCACACACATGGACTTGCTCCAGCCACACCTCCAGTGGCCCACAAGGGACTCTGGCCTGATAGGCACACACATTTAACAGTTCTCGGTGCCAGAGACTTTTCTGGGTGCTGTGGGCACAGAGAAATGAGGACACAGACATCTGCCTGGGTGGATGGCTTTTTTCCCCCCAGGGGACAGGGTGCTCTGAGCAGAGGGACAATGAGTACCAAAATCCTGCTATAGCAGAAGAAGACCAGTGTTTCTGGAGGCCAGAGGCAAGAATTTTTTTCAAGATTACTAAGGACCAATGTAGAGTCTAAACTGCCTGATGGAAAGCAAGCTGCAGGAAGGACCAGAATGAAAAGAAGCTTCTCCTGGGCAAGCAGATCGTTTCATCACTAGGGGCCTTGGGGAGTGATGCTACTTTCTTCCATGGTTGTTGGACTGTCCTCAATAGTGTCTCATATTTCATATTTTGTTCGATTGGGTGTTTTTTAAAAATTTTTAAACTATACCCAGTGGTGTTGAGGGCTTACTCCGGTCTATGTGCTCAGAGATCTCTCCTGGTGGTGTTTGGGGAGCTATATGTAGTACCAGGGACCAAACTGGGGTTGGCTTCATGCAAGGCAACACCTCAACCCTTTTTGTCTCTCTTGCCCTATAGTGTCTCTTATGATCGTTGGGTTGCTGTATCTCATAGTTTTGGGTGGTCCCTGGTTGTGTCCTCCTACAGTGTCTTCACATGATCATTGGTCATCCCCAATAGTGCCTCACTGAGTGTTTGTCCTGTCCAGCTAGAGCTGGAATGCGAGAATGTCATTGATGCTTTTCATGGCAACACAGAGGCCCCTCATAGCCTACGACCAACGCATAAGAGCCCTTCACTAAACAGACATGTGATAAAGGAGTCATTTCTCATCCCTAAAATGTTATAAATGGAAGCAGGAAGGTGCAGATCCTACTTCCCTCGTGGTTCATTTCAGAATCCTATAGGCCTCATTTTCTGGAATCCTTGTTCAAACTCCAAGCTTGATTCTAGGCTTTTCAGACAATGATCGGAGACGCACACTTTTCTAGTACTCTTTCTTCTCTTTCTCTTCCAGGAAGATAACTTGGCCTGATGTTTGAGCAAGGTACAATCCCTCTCATATTATTAGGTCACTTTCACTGGTTTCAAGAAAGAGGGAGAAAAGTTCAGAAGGATGATCTGATGAGTCAGCTAGAGGTCCCCAGGCTGGTGAAGGTTGATTCTATCTTCTGCGAGGACAGGCTAAGACTTACTGCTCCACCTTTTGAACTTGATACAGAATTTGGGGAGGTACAGGAGCCACCTCTGGGAGATGCCCACCCCACAAGCCCTCAAGAATTATACATCTTCACCCACAGGATAGGGCTCTCTGAGGCCACATTTATACTACTTGATCTAATTCATAGAGGAGTCAGTTACCTGAGCTAGACCAAGCTGACTTTCCCCTGAGCTTAAATAGTGTTAATTCTCACTAGTTTTGGTTGAGGAATGGTGGGGGAGGTCTGGGGCGGGGGAGGCAGTGGTGGGACAAGCACACAAACTTCCTGGGCTTCAACTTCCTTCTTTGTTTGTTTTGGGGCCATACCTGGCTGTGCTCAGGGCCTGCTCCTGACTTGACACTCAAGGGATCAGTTCTGGTAGGGCTCAGGGACCATAAGGAATGTTAGGGATTAAACCCAACGCTGGCTGCATGCAAGGCAAGCACCCTCCATGCTGTACCATCTCTCCAAGCCCTTGACTTTCTTATTTATAAAATGAGAACAACATCTCCATCCACGCCATCAGGCATGATTGATTTCAGAGAGGAAACCCTTCACTCATGCCTGGCACACAGCTATAAACCATGAAATATTAGCTCATCCTACAACTTTTGATTCAGAATGAGAACTTTTGAAGCAAACCTCTGGGTCATCTTTTGGTAGAAGTGAAATTTATATTTGATCAAGTGCAAACAAAGCACTAAACAAAATTCTCCAGGGAGGACGTCTAGCAGGGGAAGAGCAGAAGAGGGGAAGCAGAGAAAGACAGACAGACAGATCAAGTCAAAGAGAGACCAGACGAGGTGAAGTTAGGAAGCATCCAACAGAAGCAAGGGTGCTAGAGACAGTACAAAGAGATAGTACTCTTGCCATGCATGTGGCCAAGCCAGGCTCAGTCCCTGGCACCACATATAATTCTTTGAAGACTGCCACGATTGATCCCTGAACCCAGAGCCAGGAGTAAGCCCCGAGCACAGAGGGGTATGCCCAAACCAATAAATACACAAAGAAAGAAACAAGGATGATGAGAGTCAAGTGGAGAAAAAGGAGAGTAAGGCTTGTATTTCTGTGACTAGATTTAAGCTGGTTTCTGATTGTATTTCCCAAGGAAGCTCACATGCTCCAGGAATGTCCTGGTGAATTCCTGTTGTTACTCATAGTCTGGTGCTCCTGGACATGCCAGGAGAGGTGAGAAGGATGTTCCCTTCGTGAACGAAAGCACCAGGCTCCTGACACTCCCTGTCAGGACCCCAGCACAGGGACCTTACAGAGGTTCAGGGGAGGCACCGCAAGTGAACTAAGGCACATGGGTAACCCTGCACTGAACTGACACACTCATCACTTCAGTCCTTCCCTCCTCACAGACAATGGACGTTTTTTCCTACTTTACTGCCTGTCTTGGGGGCCAGGTCTCTCCTGGGGCCTCACCTGCAGGATGAGCAGCATCTGCACGATGGACGAGGGCAGCTGGGATGGTGACAGCAGCAGCAAGTCCCCCAGCTTCACCTTCAGCAGGACCAGGTCACGGAAGCCCAGCAGGGAGATCTGGCGAATGGTCAGCTCCTGGCCCTGGAGAGGAAAGAGGCACAGGCTCGGGGTGAGAGGTAACTGGATCTGCCACGAATCACGTCAGGTTCAGTGTCATGATCTGTAGAGAGCACCCTGGATGGAGCAGGTTGATGGGACAAGGTGTCTGCAAGGTCCTGGGGAGCAGTCAGAGAGGCAGAGAATGGGATCCCATACTTTGCAATAAAAGCTTCCTGTACAGTAAGGCAGGACAAAGATGATACATCACATATATTGGGAGTGATGCTGACATGGGTCCTCAGAATGATCTGAGGGAAGGAGAGAGAACACGGGGCAAAAGAAAAGACCAGATCAGCAGCACCTCCCTACATCCAAAGAAGCGTCCTCAATGTTAAACATATGAGCACTCATCATACACCAGGTCCAGGAGGAAAAATATGAGACTTCTTAGACTTACATACATGTGGGTAATGTAGGGGGAAAAATAACTTGAAAAGGGGCTTGTTCAACCAGCTAGGAAGGGGGAGTAGAAGATAAAAATTATGACAATTGCGCTGGAGAACTGGTATAATGGGTGTGGCACCTGCCTTGCACACAGCTGGACAGGGTTCGCTCCCTGTTGCAGGGGTTATCCCCGAACACCACCAGCTATAGCCCCCCCCCAAAAAAGAAGAATCATCATAGTTAAACCGAATATATTACTAAGCTGTGATTGTGTGCTAGGTATGATTAGAAATATTGTCTTTTTCTTTTTTAAAATAGGGCTGGAGCGATAGCACAGCGGGTAGGGCGTTTGCCTTACAAGCAGCCAACATGGCCGACTCGAGTTCGATTCCTCCGCCCCTCTCAGAGAGCCCGGCAAGCTACCGAGAGTATTCGATATGCCAGACACAGTAACAACAAAGTCTCCAATGGAGACGTTACTGGGCCCGCTCGAGCAAATCGACGATCAACGGGAGGGCCTTTACCTTTACCTTTTTTAAAATATGGTGCTAGAGAATGTAATCAGTGTGAAGCCTGCACTCTTACATTGATATAAATTTCTGACCCCCCAAAATATTTTAGATGTAAGGAACACATTTTGATTGGTGATCCCCAAGGACACCCTTTAAGACAGGTACCACTTCCATGGGTGAAAAACCTGATGCCAGTGTGGTCGCATTTACCCAAGAACTGGATTCCAATCCAAAATTGTTCAATGCAAGAGCTCCCAGGTTTTCTGACACAGGATGGGGAAGGAGCGACCCCTTTCCAGATCCCTCTTTGCACACAGACATACAGTTCATCCCCCAAAGGGAGCACTTTTGATATAGCCAAAGGTATCATTAGGATGCTCTTCCAAACAGGACAGAGCTTCTCATCCCCTGAATATGCCCAGGTATAAGCAAGCTTCACATTTCCTTTAACTCCTTAGAGGTGGGCCAGGGTAGTCTGACCCAAGAGAGATGCCATGCCACCTATACTGGTCAGCTCCATTCAACCAAGCTCTCTGATGGCCTTCCCCCACCACCCCTGAGAGCAGTGGTAGCCCTGGTCTATTTTCTAAAGGACTACACTCTCTATTTCTTACATCAAAACCCAGGATACAGCACTGACTGCTCCAAGAATCTTGCTCCATCTCCAGGTTGCTCACTTTCCTAAAGCAAAGTAAAGCTCTATACTCTTGGCCCTAGCAGGGAGTCCCCACCTGATGGGTGCAGTGAGCTAGTAGGTCTCAGGATCTCTCTCTCTCTCTCTCTCTCTCTCTCTCTCTCTCTCTCTCTCTCTCACACACACACACACACACACACACACCTGTAAGAAGTCTCTGGCTTGACTAAAAGACACCTGAGTTCCCTACAGTAGTGTGAACCCCTAACCCAGTGGTTCTCCAAGTGGAGTGCCTTGGCCAGTAGCAGGGGTGTTTTTTGGAGTCTGGAAGGAAGGAGAGGACAAAGCAATATCAACAGTAGTCAGATGTCACCACTTATCCAGGGAAGTAGGACAGCACTACCATGTGTAGACCTGCGACCAGAGGTTTCTGCTGTGACTTTTAGAGAACCCTCCATGCCCTCTGGGACTGTGTGGGGGGGACTTCACCTGCCCAGACCCCACCTCCAAATTTGAAACACATTTTCAGTGCAGCTATCCTGCACTGCCATGCTCCAACAGTCATACAACCTCTCCAGGAGAATGCCAGGCAAAATAGATGATGCCACACAAAACCCAAGATTGGCATCTTGTTTTTTTTTAGTTTTCTTTTTGTTTCACATATTTATACTTATTCATCTGAAATTCACCCCTCTCGGAGAGCCCGGCAAGCTACCGAGAGTATTCGATATGCCAGACACAGTAACAACAAAGTCTCCAATGGAGACGTTACTGGGCCCGCTCGAGCAAATCGACGATCAACGGGAGGGCCTTTACCTCGAGCAATCTGAAATTCACTTCACTTATTCATCTGAAATTTCAGATTTCACTTGGTCAGCTGTCTTTGCTCTGCTAACTTCGTCCGTCTTTTCTGTTTTCTTCTCCCAGTGCTGAGGATTTTTGTTTTTCTCCCAGGGCGAGGACCATACGCAAGTGAGGCAAAAGTTTCGCCACTGGGCTACACCCTTCACTGTCACTGTCACTGTCCTCCCGTTGTTCATCGATTTGCTCGAGCGGGCCCAGTAACGTCTCCATTGGAGACTTTGTTGTTACTGTGTTTGGCATATTGAATACATCACGGGTAGCTTGCCAGGCTCTGCCGTGCAGGCAAGATACTCTCGGTAGCTTGCCGGGCTCTCTGAGAGGGGTGGAGGAATCGAACTCGGGTTGGCCATGTTGGCTGTGTGTAAGGCAAATGCCTTACCACTGTGCTATCGCTCCAGCCCCAGGTATTGTTTTGTCGTAAAGTACCACAGCATCAACCCTATAGTAAGCACCCTATGGCTGAGTCTCATACCAAAGTCCAACTCTGTGTTTTTTTTTTTTAAATTTCTTGTGTGTGTGTGTGTGTGTGTGTGTGTGTGTAGGGGCTCCCAAGTTGTGCTCATGAAGTTGGGCGGGGGGGGGGAGTCCCCACTGGCCATTGGCCACTGTTGTCCAGCCCAGCCAGCGATTCAATGCCAGAGTCCAAGGATGCAATGCTGCCCGGCTCCTGCAGTGCTGGGGGTTGCCAGGGCTGCATCCAGTGATTCCTGGAAGACCAGATGGTACCAGGAAAGGTCCTTAGATGGGGCACATCCCAGGAGACACTGTACTCTCTCCTTCCATAGTCCATTTGAAAGAAGATCAAGGACTGAGTAGTGGAGGGAGGGTAAGAAGGACGATACAGGGACTAAACTGTCCTCCCAAGTACAGGAAAGCCTCTCCTGGGGGAGCTGAGGAAGGGAGAAAGAAGTAGGGGGCTTCAGGAGACAGAGCCATCCGCTGGATTCATTAGGAGACAAACTGCAGGCTTGATTTCCCAACAAAGCATTCTATCTACTGATCCTTATTTACATATTTAGGGATCACTCCCAGCAATACTCAGCCTGGCGGTAATAGACTTGACTCAGCCCAGTAGAGGGCTCCAGACTGGCCATCATCAGGGTCCACAGGATTCATCCATGTGAGCTAACTCCCTGGCCCCACTGACCTCTATTTTAAAGAACTCCAAGTTCCTCTAGACCCTGAATTTTCAGCAAAAAAGCACACATGTTCCCTTTTCTCAGGTTCAAGATCACTGGCGAGTTTCCGGGCTGCTCTTCTGCACCCCAGGCCCTCCTGAATGTAGTGCCATTAGCTGTGAAGCCTTAATGAGCCTGGGAGGTGAGGACAGCAGGGCCAGAGCAGCTGCATGGGGAGGGAGAGACGCGGCTGCCTTCCTGTGGCATCTCTGGGCTCCCAGTGGGGAGCCCTTCTCACCCCACTGCAATGAGACCTGCAAGCCTGTTTCAGACGTGTTACCGGGAATTGGGAAGCATCGTAGAATGAGCTGCAGGTCCAGAGGAAGAAAACTAAAGGCACACTGCTTGCCCTGAACCCCAAAGTGCTGAGTCTGCAGACAAAGTGTCGCTGTGCTCAGAGCATCACCAGGCTTGGTCTGAACCTACTGAACGGTTGATTCCGGGTCAGTGTTCTTTCGACATCAAGTGCCTTCTCATCTTCAGGGATTCCCTTAACAAGTCCAAGGAACACTGTTCTTTGCCCACAGTTCAGCAGCCACTGGACACTGGCTTGACAATTATGCTTCAGAGACTAGTAGGGATGTACTTCTGGGGTCTGGGTCCATGATTGATCCGGGCACCTACACCTCTGTCTACCCCTAAAAAATTATGTTTCAAAAAAGGGGGGGGGGGTTAATGAGGGATGAGGGAAAGAAAGGGGAGAAAACTCTCTCCTCTACTTCTAAAGAGAAACAAAACAAACCCCCAAAACCCACTGGAGAATATAAAGACATACACAAAACCAAGAGGGTGAGGAGAACTGACAAATGACTGGTTATGGAGACGCTCTTCTCTGCTAAATATAGATCCAGAGAGTTCCTCCAGCTGGCTCCGCTGCCAACTCAAGTGCCCAAACGCCTGGTCTCCCTTCATCACCAGGAGGCCCTGGGCTGCCAGGGCCAAGAAACCACACAGACTGCTGAGAGGGCAGGAGGCCGCCCCCAGCAACACTGACCTGAACTGGATAAAATATGGCCTGCAGGGTGGGGAGGGTCTCAGTGAAGAAGTGGTCCCAGACTTCAGCCAGAACCTCAATGCGATTTTCACCTACATGAGGGCGAGAAGGTGGGAGGGGAGAAAGAAAGAAAAGAATGTGTCATTTCCTGTAGGAGAGGAGAGGAAGGCAGTGCCATGTGAAATAAAGCATTTGGATATGATCTTTTTATTTTTTTCCCTTTTTTGGGTCACACCCAGCTATGCTCAGGGGTTACTCCTGCCTCTGTGCTCAGGAATTACTCCTGGCAGTGCTCAGGGGACCATATGGGATGTCGGGGATTGAACCCAGGTCAGTTGCGTGCAAAGTATACGCTCTATCCACTGTGCTATCACTTCGGGCCCCTGAAATGGAGCATTTGGGGGGGGGTGTGAGGGGTCACAGGACAGAGAGTTCATTCTTTGCAGGTGACCCAGAAGGGGTGAATTCCTGCAGGAAATGGAAGTATCGGGTGGGAAGACCCAAGTAGACACACACAAATGTGCCTTCTCTCCCCTGATCCAGAAAAGGGAGGCACCATTTACAAGTTAGTGAATAAGCGCTCTCCCCGAGAGCATGGCCGCGGTGTCATAGGGCAGCTGGCTGCAGGGGAGGCTTTGTCTAGATGGTATCTCGGGGAACACTCTTACTCCATTTCCATAGGCTTGCAGCAAGTGAAGGGTCAGCTCCAAATTCACAGAGTGACAAGGTACAGCTGGAGGCCCCCAACCCTTCCTCTTGATCATGTGCAGTTATTATTTTATTTACTTTTAGTCTTGGGGTCACACTCCCTGGTGCTCGGGGCTGACTCCTGGCTCTGTGCTCAGGGATCACTCCTGGCGGGGCAAAGGGGACCCTATGCCAGGTTGAGGATCGGACTGGGGGTGGCCCGCCACATACAAGGCAAGTGTCCTAGCCCATGCACTCTCTCCCCAGCCTCTCGTGTGCAATTCTATGTTGCTGTGCAAATCACTGGAGGGATAGCACAGGGGGTGGAGCGATAGCACAGCAGGTAGGGCATTTGCCTTGCATGCAGCAGACCTGGGTTCGATTCCCTCTCCCCTCTCAGAGAGCCCGGCAAGCTACCGAGAGTATCCCGCCCGCTCGGCAAAGCCTGGCAAGCTCCCCGTGACGTATTCGATATGCCAAAAACAGTAACAACAAGTCTCACAATGGAGATGTTACTGGTGCTTGCTTGAGCAAATCGATGAATGACAGGATGACAGGGTTACAGTGCTACAGTACAAATCACTAAGACGCTGGCTTTTTCTCCTGCTTTTGAGCTGTCAGCTGGGGGAAGGACAAGTTGGTTTGGGCACTGTCCCCTCCACCCACGGTGGCCACCTTCCAACAGGGTGCCTCCACTCACCCCCAGAACCAGGAAATCTGACCTATGACCAGACAACACACCAGGCTGACAGCACAAGGGTTTCATCCAGCAGCCCCGGAAGGCAAGGAGGGGAACTTTACACAAAGGCCCACGTAGGCAGAGAGGAGCCGGCTGGGTGGCTGCTGTTTAATGACCCAGATAATAGAACCGTGGTGCTCATCTGCAGCCCCAAAACTGGGTCAGCCAGATTAGACACAGAGATGCACTTGGTAACGGGCTGCCAGTTCCACCGAGCAAACCTGAAAAGATTCATTTAGCACCTCCTGTCTAGCAATTTAATGGACAGTAAAAGCCAGAGCTGGCTGGGAGCGGGGATGGAACAAAGGCATAGCCAGTGGCTGGCAGGGCCACGGCATGCCTGTCCTGAAAGGTCAGGTGAAGGAAGCCCTCTCCTCTGCAAAGCACTGGAATAACACCTCTGTTCTCCCTGCTCTATCTGTCCTCCACAACCCCATGTTCCAGGTCCTTAGCAGTAGGGCTGGGAGCACCAATAAATCAGTTTTTTAGAAATCTTTGACTGAATGCATGGCATGTATCAGGAACATAGATTTTTACAGACTTAAAAGGTTGGAAGGAATTTGTCATTTTAACTCAAAGGACAAGACAGAGCAGAACCTACTAGTAATTTAAATATTTTTCTTTTTCTTTTTTTTTTGATTTAGAAACAACAATAAAAATCTGGTCTGGGGGGGGGGGGGTCTGCTCCTGTCTCTTTAGCTTCTTCTGGATTGCTCTCTGTCTTTGAGCACTAACCCTGTAGGTTTTATTTCAGACTCTCACACTCACCATGCTCCCTTAATGCCACAGGGCCTTTGCATATGCTCTTTTGTCTTCAGATACTATTTCCCTCTCTTCATTCCCTAACCTGCACCCGGTTTCAGCCATAGCATCATTTCCACAGGAGATGTCTTTTCCTAGGAGATAAAATCTCTCTTCCACAGATTATTTTAGCCTTTGTCTCTTTTAGCCTTTATTACCTTTGGGGATCATTTGATTATCCCTAAATGTATTAAGGGGGCTCTCTGACTATCTGTCTTCCTAGGACGAGTTGTTGGTATTTGTCACCACACTGTTTGTTTCCTGGCAGTATGGCTGAGAAAGATTTCAGTGCATGGCTAGATCATCCTCTTTTCTTCCCCCACCCCTTTTCTTGTTTTTGAACCACACCTAGCAGTGCTCAGGGCTTTCTCCTGGCTCTCAGCTCATGGTTTACTCCTGGCAATGCTTGGGGGACCATATGGGGTGCTGGGGATGCAACTGAGGTCAGCTGTGTGCAAGGCAAACACCTTACCTGTGTTCCTATTGTTCCCTCTCTACCATCCTCGTTTCAAAAGGAGATTCTGCTAGTTCACAGCGGGGAGAGTTTGAGCAGCCAAACCCTCTGAAATATAATTAAAACCAACTGAACCCCATACGTAGACAATACCCCAGAGGAGAAAAGGTTCTTCCTGCTCCTGTATGAAGGTTCTGTCTAAACCTTCCCAGACAAAGACAAGTAGAAGTTAGCCCATATGCAGGAGGGGAAGGAGAGTCTGCAGGTCGGAGGAGGAACTTGGTCCCCACTGGCCAGCTGGAAAGTGCAGGTGAGGGTCTTCCCCAGCCCCCGTGGCCTGAAGTTACCTCCCTGGAACCAATGGCTAAGTCCTGGCTGCCAAAGTGATGAAGGTTTCGGAAAGCATTCAGAGAATAACACCTGACAGACCCGGGCTAACCAAACAGGGTGGCCCTGGGGAAGAAGCTGTTCAAGGAAGGAAGTGACTGATCCCCAGAAACGGCCCATGAGTCAGGAGTGCAACTCCTGACAAAGATGCAAGGGGGCTTAGAAGGAAGGTTTAGGTTGCCAAGGGCACGGAGTACAAGACATTCTTTTTAGCCCAGGTGACTAATGAACTGAGATTAGGGACAGTGGCACAGCCAGTGAGAGAGAGAGAGAGGCATGGACGAGCAACTCTGAGCTCTGTTGCCTCCTGACGCAGAGCCATGGGCCCCAAGGCTGACGAAACAGGCTGGATCCCAGCCAGGGACTACCAAACTATACAAAATCTTTTTCAGAGTTACATTTCATAAAATGATATGGCAAAGATGTTCTTGCTGAGTGTTTCTCACTCTTTTTTGTCTGTTTATTTTAGTGGGAGATGTCATCATCAGTGGTGCTCAGGGCTTACTCTTGGCTCTTAGCTCAGGGATCACTTCTGGCAGGGCTTGGGGGACCATATGGGGTGCTGGGGAGCGAACCTGGGTCAGCCACATGCAAGGCCAGCTCCCTACCTGCTTTACTATTACTCCTGAGTGGTCCTGCCTCCTGAGAAAGGAGACAATACTCAGACCCTGGGACTAGGGACCCTGAGAGAATTCCTAGGCTCTGCTCCTCAGTGGGCTCACTTTGCTCTGTCCAGCTTCATGCCTGCAATTTCATCCTGAACGTGGCTGTGCTGAGTATCACTGTCATCATATGGCGGCACCCAAATCCCCAGTGTTGCTCAGACTGTTCTCGTCAGGCTGGGCTTTCCACACTTCTGGGGACACATAATAACTCCACCCGGTGACCAACAATTAGCATGACTGTGGCTGTCATCTTTTGTTTATTATTTTGGGCTACACTTGTCAGTGTTCGAAAGGTCACTCCCAGTGCTCAGAGGACCATGTGGGGCCGGATACCAAACTCGGGGCTCCAGCATGGAAAGCCCATGCACCAGCCCTTTGAGCCAACTGTCCCACCCCCTCTTCCTAATTCTTCCTAAGCAGCTGCTTCCACATCTGTGCAACACCTTGATTCCAAGATGCAAAAGAACCCACTCCCCCTGCTCTGGTCAAAGGCCTTTAAGAAAAGGCCTGAGATTCAGGGGTCCTCGAAAGGTTGGAAAAGTCTCCACCCGGTTGTATTCAAGAGCAATGAGGGTCCAAGTTTTATCAGCACTCAGACATCCAAATGGTACATTTTTCACTTCTGTTCTTACCAAGGCTTAGCGAGCACTGACTCTGGGTGCTAGGCACTGGAACTTTCCAGAATCCAATTTTTCATTTTTCTTCCTACTTTTTCTAAGACCCTCTTCACTGAGCACAAGACTCTTTCTGGGAAGGGAAAAAGGAATGAAGACAAAGCCTGTTGTGTCTGAGTCTGGAAACAAACTGGACCTCCAGAGGAAAGGGATATAGTCTGGGCGCGGCTGTACCAGGGCTGGTGTTTCCTGACACCTCATGCTCCCTATAGTCTGTGGACAGCTGGTATTTTTCTTTTTTTTGTTCTGCTTTTTGGATCACACCCAGCGATATACAGGGGTTACTTCTGGATCTGCATTCAGGAATTACTCCTGGTGATGCTCAGGGGACCATATGGGATGCTGGGAATCGAACCCAGGTCGGCTGCGGGTAAGGCAAACACCTTACCCGCTGTGGTATCACTGCAGCCCCACTTATTTTTTGTCTTTTAGCTATGATGTTCTTATGTGTTTGTTATTTTAGGGCCACACCTGACAATACTCAGGGCTTACTCCCGAGGGCTTACTCTAGGTGGTACTCAGCAGACCATATGTGCTACCTGGAACTAAACCCAGGTCAGCCAAGGCAAGCACCCTACCTCCTCTGTTGTCTCTCCAGTCCACTTTTTTTTTAAATTGAAGTAACACTGATTTTCAATACGTAAGTTTCAACATCGTCATTTTTTCAGGTTTTTGTTTTTTGGTGTTTGTTTTGGGACCACATCTGGCTGTGTTTAGAATTTATTCCTGGCTCTGCACTCAGCATCAGTCCTGGTGTGCTTGGGGGAACCTTAGTAGGTGCCGGGGAGCTAATCCGGGTCAGTCACATTCAAGGCAAGAGCCTTACTATACTATAGTTCCAGCTCCACAACACTGTCACTTTTTAAATGAGAATAACCAAGGCCGAGAGAAACTAGAGACCTGTGAACTGCACCCAGGATGCTGAGCTATGGTCTGCTAGGATGGGCCCTGCACTAGGTAGACAGTTGTCCTGGGTGGACATGGCACAGCTTGATTCTCACCTCTCTGGTCCTGCTCCTACCTCATACTCAGCGCCTTTTTAGCTCATTCTTTGGCTCAAAACTCTACCATTATTATTGTGGGGAGGGTGTTGGGGCCACAGACAGTGATAGCTAGTCCTGGCCCTGTGTTTAGGAGTGACCCCTACATCAGTCAGAGGATCTCAACTGGGGTGACCACAGACAAAGCAAGAACTTTCCCTCCTGTATACTCTCTCTCTCTCTGTCTCTCTCTCTCTGTCTCTCTCTCCGTCTTAAGGGTTCTAAAGTCATTTGAGACCAGGAAATGGTCTTCTTGCCTGTCAAAGCAGATCCTATTATGTGGGTGTCTGCTTATCCTCACATCCCCCTCTCCTTCCAGTAGGGGAGGCCTCCTGTTGTGCACGATCTCAAGGAATATGGGGAATAAAATACCTATAGGAAATGGTCTGGCCCAGACCAGAAGGAATACCAAGGAAGCATGTGCTGAATAATTTATCCCTTCACAACAGACCACCAACACACATGCAATGGACAACCCCACTACCCACAGCGAGGTCTCCAAAGCTGGCCCCGTTCCACATCAGTTCTCTGCACACAGCTCTAACTTGCAACGCCCTGCATGCAGACTGCAAGCCAAGTGCTGCAGCCCCACTGGGCTGACTCATTGCCTTTGGAACCTGCCCCTTTTGGAATGAAGCAGTTCAGCTGTCCAAACATCAAAGGCTGAGTCACAGGGGCCCCAGCTCTACGAGAGATGCCTTGTACTTGCCTTCGCACAGCTTAATCTTCTCTTCCACAAACAACAGTCCTTTTGCAAGAAGCTGGTTCTGCCAAGAGAAAACAAAGAACACAAGAGTTGGGTGACTTTACAGCGTGACAAACCCTCCTCCACTTCCAGTGGGCGAGAGCTCAGAGTTCTAGGCACTTGTGTGCTCGGCATGTTTCCAGGGTCCAAGAGCTTTCTGTCCTCTCTGAAAGCCAAGACTGCAGGAGAAGACATCAACATCAGAGCAAAAGAGCAAGACAAGAGCCAACCCAACCCTCACACCCTCACTATCATCCCCACCCCTCCACCCACAGAACCATCAGTTACTGTTTAGCTCCCTTGAACACTATGGAAGGGCAATGGGTTGACGCTGTGCTTTAGGTCATAACTCTCCATTTTGAAAAGGGAGCATGGAGGCAAATGTGAAATCATGTGAAAATCACTTAAAAAGAGATTATAAATGGAGCAAATCACGCTCACATGCAAGAGACAGCATGCCAAATCTCAGGCGTCAGTGAGTGGTAGCTGTGCAAGGGAAAGCTGCAGAAAGGGAAATTTAATGGTTTCCTCTTTTTGGCTCTGTGTGTGTGTGTGTGTGTGTGTGTGCGCGCGCGCGCGCGCGCGCACATGCGCGTGACATATTCGGACATACATATTCGGCTTATGCCTGGCTCGGGGATAACTCCTGGTAGTATTTGGGGTAACGTATGTGGTACTGAGACTCCAATGAGAGTTGGTTGTGTGCAAGGTCTTAACCCCTGTACTATCTCTGGCCCATTTCGCAACTAATCAATTTTGAGTTCTTGGTGCTCAGTAAACCCTTCACATCACAGTAGATTCTTGGAAACTGCAACTTTAAGTGAAATAATATAAAACTAGAGTAGGTCTTAAATAATGTTTCCTTCAATTTTTTTTTAATTGCCAATGTTATATGGAACCAATGTTGGAAGACATGATGTTATGTAAGGAATCCTCTACATATCAGAAGATTTATATGCTTCATCTCATTTATTCCCACCATCCCAGTAATTGTATCAGCTTAGTGTAATTGTCCTTTGTTTCCAAAAATGAGACTTGACCACAGGAGACAGAGCTGGACCTCCGGGCTCTAGGAAACTTGCCCTTCTCACTCTGCACGACTGCCTTCCCTCAAATCTTCCCACCCAATCCCCCTCTTTCAAGAGGCTGCAGCTGATCCTGTGAAGACACAACAGCCCCTGCATTAGTCGCAGTTCAGTGAGCAAATAAGAGCTGATGCCTCTCCACTCATTTCCCATTATCAGATTATCAAAGGTCTCCATGTAGGGGGTGGAGGGCCTGAGGTGATATGTATCTTACCCAAACAACAAAACCACAATGCATTGCTTCCTGTTCTCCCTTTTAAAAAAACCCTAATAATCACCATCACTGGTGGAAAGCACTGGGGTTTCAGACAATTCATGGTCCTCAAAATCTTCAGTTCCTCCCTCTGTAAGGTGGTATGATGCCATCAACAGCGTAAAATTCTTGTAAGAATTAATCATTATAAGCATACACACATTAGCTATTTTATATCTTAAGTAATCAGGGGGAGTCACGTTACTCTCTGGGCCCAATTATTTTCACAAAAGAAGTGGGAGGAAGGGGCAGTTTTGAATGGGCCTACATCAGATGCATTGAAATACTTTATCAAAGTACCATCACTTTATTGTTGTCTTCCTGTGACTAATATTTGTAAACCATATTTAAGATGACCTATTAAAATTCACAGAATAATTTTTTAAAGGCCACCCTTTAGTTTTGACATGACAGATGTACTCCTCTCTAATCAGTGTTAAGAGTGTTATCTATGGCAGTAAACAATTTTCATTAAAGAAAAAACAAATTCTTAGGCCTGAGTGACAGTACAGCTGGTAGGACGTTTGCTTTGCAATTGGCTCGCCCCAGTTTGGTCCCAGCATCCCATAAGGTCCCCTGAGCACCTCCAGAAATAATTCCTGAGTGCAGAGCCAGGAGTTCTGGGTGTGATCCAAAAAGAAGAGAGAAAGACAGACAGACGGAAGGAAGGAAGGAAGGAAGGAAGGAAGGAAGGAAGGAAGGAAGGAAAGAAAGAAAGAAAGAAAGAAAGAAAGAAAGAAAGAAAGAAAGAAAGAGAAAAACAAATTCAAACAAATTCTTATGGAAAAAGACAAATACTTAAGGCAAAACCACTGGTGTTTTTTCTGTCCTCCAGGCAAGCAAATGAATCCCAGTGGCTTCTCATTCTGAAAACAAGGTACACCCCAGAAACAAATTCAGACTGTGAGCCAGTTGATCAGGACCATAGTGACTGTGAGATGTTTGCAGATGGTCATCAGGCCACAGAGTGTTTCTCAGTTGGGACTTGGAATCTCTGCCCACTGGCCTGGATGCAGTTCTCTGAATGTCTGCCCAGCCCTCCAGTTCAGGGTTCCCAAGCCTTTATTCTGTCACCACTTCTGATTTCAACACTAATGTCCCTTCTTCCAAACCAAACCCTTTTAGAACTTCCTGTTTCTGAGAAACCCAGAAATGCACCTGCAGCTGTTAAACTCCCAGATAAGCAGCCAGTACCATTCTGTTCCATCACTATGGGGAAAACAAGGCACTGAAAGCAATAAAAGTCTAGTCCAGGTGATACATGAGTTAGCAATACACAGGAATTAAAGCTTTATGAAATGAATGAAGATTCTGGGGTTCCCAGGGGGTGAGGATTGTGTTTCTTTTATGTTACTTCCTTTGACTCTAAAACAGTGCCCAGAACATAACTGGTGCTAATAAATATTTATGGAATGTCTATATTGTCTCTTTCGGTGCTAAGCCATTTGGTACTTGGCGGGCTGCAAAGGTCACACTCACTCAGCAGTGCTCAGAGGATATTTCTAGCTCTGAGATCAAGAGTGACCCCTGGCTGTGCTTAGGAGACTCTATGTGGTGCCAGGGATTTGACTGGGATTTGGCTGGATGTAGGACAAATGCTTTAACTTCTGTACTTACACACTCCCTAACTCCCTCCCTCCCTGCCTTTCTCTCTCTCTCTCTCTCTCTCTCTCTCTCTCTCTCTCTCTCTCTCTCTCTCTCCCCCTCCCTCTCTCCCTTTCTCTCCCTTTCTCTTTCTCTCTGCCCCCCCTCTCCCTCCCTCCTTTTCTCTCTAACTCCATTTTGTGCCAGAGGAACAGTAGAGTAGGTAGAGCCTTCCAGGGTTCAATCCTTAGCACCCCACATAGTCCCCAGAGCCCCATTATGAGTGATCCCTGAGCACAGAAGCAGAAATAAGCCCTGAGCCATGCCAAGGGGTTCCCAATTCCCCATCCCTTAAACAAAGAAAAGAAATCAAGATAAAACACTCTGTTTAAGAAGGGAATAAAGTGATAAACAGTGTTTAAATCTATTTTCTTCATTTGATAAAAGTTATGCTCGAGCGGGCCCAGTAACGTCTCCATTGGAGACTTTGTTGTTACTGTGTCTGGCATATCGAATACTCTCGGTAACTTGCCGGGCTCTCCGAGAGGGGCGGAGGAATCGAACTCGGGTCGGCCATGTTGGCTGCGTGCAAGGCAAACGCCCCACCGCTGTGCTATATTTGGAGGGACAAACTTTTAAAAAGGTCCTAAATTCTCTTGTTCTCATTCCTAGTCATTCTCCTTCCAAGGAGACTTTTTTTTTTGGAGGAGGAGGAGGGGGGAGGGCTGTTTTTAAGAAAAATAAGTTATTTGAGTATTATGGAAAAATGGAAAAGAAAACATTCTTTTAAAAATTCTCATGATACACAGCATGGAAATTCTGCAGCTGGGACGGAAATAAGAATAATCAAACCTTGGGGTTGGGAGGGCCCTCAAGGATTATCTAACCGCTTGCTCGCTCTCTCCCTCCTGCGGTCAAAATCAATTGGACACACAGTTCTGATGGCATTTAGGTGAACTACGGTTTCTAGGAAACCAAAGCACTTTTCAAAAATCCTTTTGCAAATTCTAATGCTGCCAAGGCATTCGTCAGCTTTGCTCTTCGTTTATATTTGAATTAACTCAGGTGAGATGGAAAGACTCTGCACAGGGGAATAAAGCAAGAACTTTGGGTCAGCCTCGTTGGCCACCACCAGCCCCTTTTCTCAGGAAAGCCCTGCACTGTCTCCCCAAGCGTCTGGGCCCTCTTGCTCATGCAGCCTGCTCCTACAAGCATGGGTTTTCTGCTTCCTGGCCCGCCCCTTACTGGATCTCCAACTTCTCTCTTACAGGCACTTGGACTCCTACGCTCCTGAGGTCCTGGATTATTCTTCTCCTTCTCCTTCTCCTTCTCCTTCTCCTTCTCCTTCTCCTTCTCCTTCTCCTCCTTCTCCTTCTCCTCCTCCTCCTTCCCCTTCCTTCTCCTCCTCCTCCTCCTCCTCCTTCTCCTTCTCCTTCTCCTTCTCCTTCTCCTTCTCCTTCTCCTTCTCCTTCCCCTCCTTCCCTTCCTCCTCCTCCTCTTCTTCCTCCTCCTCCTCTTTTTTTTTTTAATGTGCTAAGCGGTAGGGCGCTTGCCTTAAACATGGCCAACCCGACCCACCTGAGTTCAATTCCTCTGCCCCCCTCGGAGAGCCCAGCAAGCTACTGAGAGAATCTCGTCCGCACAGCAAAGCCTGGCAAGCTACTCTTGACCTATTTGATATGTCAAACACAGTAACAACAAGTCTCACAGTGGAGACGTTACTGGGCCCGCTCGAGCAAATCGATGAACGATGGGAGGACAGTGACAGTGAATGTTTTAATTGAGTCGCCATAAGCTACAGTTATAAAACTTTCATGTTTGAGTTTCAGTCATACAGTGATCAAACTCCCATCCCTCTACCAGTGCATATTTTCCACCACCAATGTTCCTAGTATTCCCCTCCATTCTGCCCCCATCCTAACCCTCCCCCTTTCTATATGACAGACAATTTCCCTCTTACTCTCTTTCTACTTATGAGCTTTATGGTTTACAGTACAGATACTGAGAGGCCACCCTATTTGGTCCTTAGTCTACTTTCGGCACACATCTCCCATCCCAAGCAATCCCTCCAACCATCATTGACCTACTGATCCCTGCTCT